GAGCCTATAAGGATGCTGCAGGTTTTTCCTCCCAAGGTAGAGAATGTTGCATTTTTCAGTGTTAAACACCATCAGGTTCTCGTCCGACCATTTGCTGAGCCTGTCCAGGTCAGACTGGATCGCCCGCCTGTCTTCTGGTGTGGATGCTTTGCCCCAGAGTTTGGTGTCATCGGTGAACTTGGCCAGTCCGCTTTGGACTCCCATGTCCACATCATTAACGAAGATGTTGAACAATATGGGTCCAAGGACAGAGCCTTGGGGGACCCCACTGGTCACAGGGCACCATGATGATTGACTTCTGTCAATTACTACCCTCTAGGTCTGACCACGGAGCCAATTTCCCAGCCAGCGGATCACGGTGGACTCAAGGCCACAACTGGCCAGTTTCACCGAGAGGTGATCACGGGATACCCAAATAGAAGGCATTTTTGAAGTCAAGATATAGGACATCAATCTCTTCTCCCTTGTCCAGGTGATAAGTCACCTGGTTATAAAAGGAAATGAGATTGGTCAAGCAAGACCTACCCGCAACAAACCCGTGCTGGCTATCCCTCAGGATGTTGGCGTTGGCCAGTCCATTAAGGATGGCCTCTTTAATAAACTTTTCTAAGATCTTCCCCAGGACAGAAGTCAGACTGATGGGCCTGTAGTTTGCCGGATCCACTTTCCTCCCTTTCTTGAAGATAGGCACCACGTTGGCCTTCTTCCAGTCTTCGGGCACTACACCAGAGTGCCAGGAGGTCTCAAATATCCGTGCCAGAGGCTGGGCTATGATGCTCACCAGTTCCTTGAGTACCCTGGGGGGTAGATTTTCAGGGCCAGCTGACTTGAAGGTATCCAACCTCTCAAGGTATTCCTTCATGAGGTCAGCATTGATGGAGGGCAGGGGATCTCCCTCACCCAGACCTGCCTGTCCCGTAGTGGGCATGGGCATCCCATAGGACCGATGAAAAACTGACACAAAGTACTCATCTATGATGTTAAACCAAAAAATAAGGCATTTCAGATGAACAACTTAGAGAAAATACCATAAAGGGACTTGAAAGGCCTAAGAAACGTTTCAATTTGTCACAAGCAAATACTAGCAAAAACTAGACAGAAGGATGCAAAGAAAAACTGAAGCAGAAGTGTAGGAAGTAAACAAAGCTGAAAGTTAGGTTGTCACTTAATAGGTGACTCTACCCCAGTTCTTCATTTTCTTTTTTGTGGGTAAATATTCCTACTATACTCATGTGCAATACAATAACACTGAATTAACAGAAACCATAATGCAGGACTGCAATACTTCCATTCAAAATATAAAATTTCCTGTTCTACACTAGTGTTTTCTTTAAATATACTGACCTCAATCTCTCGGAGCTTGGCACGTTTTTCTTCACTCATTTCAGAGTATTTGACTGATGACTTGGATTCAGGCATTTCTTCTTTGATGGGATTGGAGTACATATGCTGTTCTTCTGATTTAGAACTCTGAGTATCCTCCTCATCTTCGCTTTCCTCTTCTTGACTTTAAAGGGCAAAAGTGAAAAATACATTTAGCTAATAATGCTTTTAAATGTTACAAGTCTTACTTGCATCTGTATGACTGAGTCTTTTAAGAGTTTAAGTGATCTAGACATGTCAATCGATACACGAAAACCTGAATGTGTTACTTCATTATTTACAGCATATGGTGTCAAACTATCCTAATTTTTTGCCTTTCTTATGGAGCATGAATTTTTATGCTTCAGATAATTCTCACTTTTCATCTAAATACATCTCAAACCCTTTTAAGAACTTTACATTTTCAGCTGGAGTCCATAATTTGCATAATAAAGCTAACATGTTATTCAGAGAATCATTTTAAGCAATATAATTTTGCTTCTTCAAATGTAATTAAGTCTATAACCCAACAAAAGATTCTGTTTTAACCTGGAACTGACCTAGAGATATCAACTTAGAGTGATATTCTCTTAACAGCCACTAGAGTGCTGCATCTCAACATGAAATGAAAACTCAGCTGTTGAACAACACATTAATACCAATGCTCTCAAAACTGCTTGAAGAACAAAAGACAAGAACCGAGTAAGATCTATTAATATCCAAACAAGTATATCTGTGAAAATGTTACTTGCTGTTCTTTTGATTCGAAGTAGAAAAGCAAATCTTCAGATTGAGGAACATAGGTTTGGCATGCAACAATCTCAGAGGCAAAGTAGTATTTGATACTTTCTGCTTAACACTAATGAGATATGAAATGCAACTGACAACTGCTACAAAAAAATGAGCCAAATTAGAAGCTGGTGAATGCTGCTGAAAAGGACTACAACTTAAAATCCTCTCTGATCTCTGTACTTTCATGTTTTCCTTATTTTCAAAGTTTAAATGGTCACATATGTGGAAGTGGCTTTTTCCAAAGGAACTGGATATCACTTGTAAGCACAAAGGGTTTTAAATGACTGTTGAAAATAATTTTAAACTGTAAGCCAATTTGGTACATGGCTCAGTATTTTCTCAAGCTCAAGGAAAATAAACAGCCACGTTACTGAAATGAGTGTGAAACTTCCACCACAAGGATACAGACTTCAGAAATGAGCTTGAGAAACAACTAGTTTTTAGCATGCAAAGCTGCTTTAAAATTTATTTACAAATTATAAAATACCTCCACATTTATCTAAGCAGTGGCTTTGTTCACATCCTGACACAGAAGTAATGGAACGTGGATTAAATGCAGGTACCTGATTATGTTTCTTGTGAAAGTATAGGAAGGTACAAGCTTTCTGGATGTACCAATGAAATAATGCAGAATGACTATAAGATGATATAGAAGCAAACCCAGTATTGGCATTCTAGATCAATAAAGAGTCCATGAATAGTTTAAAGAAGAAAGTAACTTGTTAGATTTGGGATTAATCATGCCAGATACACTGGCTAAGTATTAAAAGGACTCTATATATCTACAACAGAAGAGCAGTTGATTCAAGTAGCTGAGGTACAAAAGAAAGTTACAGCTTTTTATATTATGTTATCTTTCAGCTTTTCTTCCTTCATATAGCATAAAACAAAGAGTCTGAAATTCTCATGTTTAACCATTCTATATTCTGGGATATGTTTCTCCATTAAAGCCACAGAATAGAACTACAGTTTGATATCAAAGTTACAGGAAGATAGATCCTACTTTCAAAGAAGTCCAGAAATGACATCATCTCTACTCTTTACATAAACAAAAATATTTTAAGTGAAGAGCCAACAGGTACTCTCTCTCAAAGAAAACTGGTATTTTTCAATCCCAAAACTCAATTTCACAAGCAGAACTTTACAACTTAAAGGAACACACTGCTAGTTTTCTGGTCTTCCATAACACTTCATTAGATCTAACATATAAATAAAAATGCACTGGGGAAATCTAAGTCAGAGCTAAGGATTTCTTACTGGTTTCTGGATAAACTGATCAAAAATATTTTCCAAGATAGCATTTAATATATTTCAAGAGCATCAATTTTACCTCTTATTTTTCTGAAAAAAGACTGTTAAACTAGAAAATCTAGCAGTAGTAGTAGTAGTAGGCATCCATCTCTCTCGCAACACAAGATTACACCAAGTGAGACATGAGCTCACTGAACATAATCCTAGCTTCAGAGAGAAAGCAAAGCTGGAGTAACCTCTCCTAGGTGCAAAAGCCTGGGCAGTGTATATGGAGACACTAAGCTGCCCATACACCAATGTCCCCCTCTCAGCCTTCCTGGCTTAATCCTAAGGAAAGTCAGGTGCCATATATACACACACACACACACACACACACACATATATATACACACACATACACTCACATTTGATTTTCTTCCTCTTCTGATTCTTCATGCTGGTCAAATAATTCCCATTTAGATGTTGTAACAGCTGGGGAAGAAGTGGGGGAAATTACAAAAAAAAAATTTTTTTCACCTGCAATTAGACAGTCATATGTAAAATGTTTTATAAAAATTCATAAAATAAAACTTCCTGACACTGTGTTTAATTCAAATGCCCCTATATTCATTGAATACATTTCACTGACTTGAAAACTGAACTTAAAACCAAAATATATATCTATATTTGAGATTTAGTATTTAATAGAATTCCATAGCAAAACTACTTTCTCTCTCTCTCTCTCTCTCTGATCTCACAGGCCTCATGGGCCTATAACCACCTTAACTAAAGCCTGCACAAGATTGGAGATGGAAATCTCCTTCCACCTTGCCACATCTTTGCCTTATTGTTGCCTCCATCCACCTCAAGATCTAAGTACTTTCACCTCACAGCTTCCAAAATCTCCTTCACATGCCTTCTCTCTTCAGTCCTTGCACGCTTCATTTTCTGTGCTTTTATCTTGCTCAGAATACCAGATCTTTTGTAAAGGTCCACAAGCTCTTGATTATATCTTCTCCTC